AAAAGAAGGGGGTGCACAGGCATTCACTACTCGAAGACTAAAGTTTTCCACAATTAATAAGATAAGATTAACGATCCACATAAGAGTAGTACCAGTCAGTACTCGAATATGGTAGACACATTGCCGTCTGACAGGTCCGATGGTCATCCGTACTCTGAGCCGTGTCAACCTCGAAGTAGCCGAAAGTACTCGGCCACAATTCAGCGGAGCCGACGAGGCGACCTCTTGGCAGAGGTTGCCACCAAAACCGGAAGGGCATCTGAAAAGGGTTTCTTTTGAGGAGACGCTGAGATGGACTCTGTAAGTAGTCAGCTGATACCGCCAGTTAGCGCACCTGAACTTACTTGCATATAGTACAGTTCAGTGGATCCGTATAACCTCCGTTAAGACATCTGGGCGCCTCAACATTGGAGCGATTACAAATTGCTGAAAAGGCGGAGAAAAACCCATGAATTCCAGTTTAATAATCACCTCACTCACCAGAACACTGGTAATGTCTGTTGATGATTTCCACATCCAGGAAGGATGGTCCCTCCATATTACCCATAGTCCCTTGAAGCTCTTCGTTCAGGGCTAGTAGAGAAGGGAAAGCAGCATTCCGTGCAAACCTTCAATGACTGGTACCAGGTACGGCCCTCATTCACTTCATTCACTTTTTTGAGTACCCGAAATAGTGACCAAGAGACAGAAGGTGGATCCTTGGATTACGCCACGCATTCGAACTTTGTTTGGATTCTCGGAAACAAAGACTACATGATGGATACCTTGAAGGTACTGCACTATAGGTCGGGCATTTCCGGTAAAGAATGGAGTTGACCAGATTCCTCACCCCGCTCCTCGCTTCAGTGATTACGGTTCGAGGTGATGGGGTGGCAGAATGTGATAACATTATATAAGGATGAACGAAGATCACCCATAAGGTGCAGGTCAACTACAGTACTACGGTTACTTTTATGGACTCCGAGTAGAAAACCCTGAGGCGTTGTTTCTGACTAACTCAAAAATCATTTGTTTCACGTTTTTCTATAACTTATAGTTCAAATCTTTAAAAATATTCAAGAAATACCTACTCTGTCGGAGCATAGTGCATCACACTTCCAACATCATAAGGAAGACCATAGGTGTCCAGGAAAGTCGAAGATATCTGAATATCCGCAATACACTGGAGAGAAACGGATCTCTCCATTACAAAAACCCCCTTTGTTTTCGTTCTTACGACACACTTACCGTCTCGAAATCTCCCCAATCCGACTCAGGCACATTGGCTTGCACAAATGCCACATATTCGTTTCTATCGTAACGCTGCTGATGATGGAATAGACCGAGAACATGACCAACTTCATGGGTGGTCACTCCAAACTGAAATCATCTTTGATAATCACCAGATTTTTCACAGAATCCCTTCACATTTAGTGTTTCCTTTCTTCTCTCACTTACTGTTCCCTCTTCCTCCCAATAAGGAGGCAAAATTAACGAGTTTCGGGCAATATGTTGGAATCGAAACAACCGAGAGCAGATGCCCGATCACGCTCCCTTTCATGTCCTGTTACTCCCTATGGTCGGAGAAGGAGCAGGAACTTGGATGGCCTCAATACCCTTCTGTGGCTCGAACACTCTCCCGGACCGCTGTAAACATACTTTCTCAAGACATATTTTCAGTTTGTTTGGGAGATGGGGGGCTCTGTCGTTCACATGTTGGCCCCTGATAATCATTCAGTGATCAGTGTTGAGCTCCTACCGCTCTTTCTGTCAAGAGTTCAAATTATACCGCATAACATCCTGTTCCTATGTAAACAGGTTGTTGTCCTTGTCTTAGATCCCTTCCTACTGTGGATGAACACATGTCCAATGCGCCTGCAATGGTATATTGGTGCCAGTATCTTCGACCTAGAGATAACTTATTAGAAACTTCTACCGGTGAAGAGAACGTATTGGGTTTCATTGGTTCGAGGTCGAAACGTCACACAGGTGTTGCTCTGCCAGAACTCCATCGCTTCCAGAAGGCTCGCTACTGCTACATCAGCTATAACAAAGTAATCAGAGTTTAGAAATTACATCAGTTCCCCAGGTCCATCTTATGATTTCTGATTTTTTAAAATGATTTTCCCCTTTTTAACACTGTAGTCGAAATCCCTTGGTGGCACAGACGTTTTAGGTCTATTCAATCTCTAACTCACGGAGATCCTCATCGAACTCGTACGGTACACCAGTTTGCCATATTGTTTCCGGGTAGAAGAAATCACGATAGGCCCATCGCCGTATTCGGGAACGCTCGTACTCCTGCTCGGATTCCTTCACAATTTCACGGAGAAGGGAATGGCTGATGATGATATCGCCGTCGAAGAGAAATTTCCTGCAAACTAGTTATTCCTTCCCTGAATACCGACGAAACTAAGAATTCAGGAGGATATGTTAGCGTTGATTCAGATTCGTTGGCCTGAGAATACCTACAGGTGGATACAGATAGATAGGTACTGACAAAATAACTTACTTGAACTTGTGATTCAATTTTTTGAAGTTCCGTTCACTTGGCTGTGCAACAAGTAGCCGGCTAGATACTGGCTTAAGTAGACCATTTTTCAAATGACCACCGTTTAGTAGGACAGTCACTCACAGGCTGAGTTTCATTGCTGTGCTTGCGAATCGAAAGTTCGTGCAATTTTTGAAGTTCCTCTTCATTTCCTCGTGTAATACGCTCGAATATGCTCTGAAGACTAAAGATTCAGATGGATTTTGAAGTATTCAACAGTCAAAATCGTTCTTT